TCCATTCCTATGGAATTCTCCAGCTTGAAAGGAAGGTGCGTAATGCTTGCAAATTGATTTGCATATGCAAACGAGGAGGGGAGAAGTGGAAATTTTCCAGGCCAGGCTCAGAGAAAGAGAGAGAGAAAGAGAGAGAGCCTCTCCCTTCTTCAGCATCTTCCTGCCGTCCCCCCCTCCTTCCCCCCCCCCCAGCACTTCCTCATAGTTTTCCTCCTCCAGGCCCCGGGGTCAAAATGCTCACTCCAAGCGGCTCTTCGGTGCTAGAGACGAGGGAGAAGCGCGGAGGCTTTCTCCGCCTGAGTTTCCGGGCGATGCGCCTGTCGCTCATGTCTGCCCACCCAGACGTGGACAGTGCGGTGGGGCTGAGCTCTCAGACCCACCCTTGCTGCTGAGCCCAGCATGGCCAAGGCTTTTGAATGCCTCTGCCCACAAAGCCTATCACCCTGGGGGACACAGCGCTAGGTGATAATGGCCGTCTCAATGGCTTCACAGAGACTGGGTTTCCCCTGGTAACTGGGGCACTGTGACATCAGCACCCCTCTGGGGACCTGCTCTGTGACCCAGACACAAGAGATCCAGCTAGCCTGAGGGCCAAAGGTGAGCCTGAGGGGCAGGGATCCCTCAAATGGGGGCTCTGGCAGTTCTCCTGCCGAGTTTCTCCCAAACTGCTGCATACAGATGTTAAGGAACGTTAAGGGGCAGGAACCAGGCGCCGGTCTTGGAATCGCCATCGTGAGTTTCCTAGTTAAGAGCTCCTGCCCGAGCTGTCCCCACCCTGCCTTGGGGGCTGTCGTGAAATCTGAAGGGCGGCTGATAGACAGGAGTTTCTTTCGTTTTTTTTCTTCATTGCAGCCAGGGCTCCTTGCAGCCTTTGGGAGGGCTTGGCTTAATCCCTCTAAGTTCTTGGGGGGGGGGGTGTAGAGGGAATTAAGTGATTGGGAAGGTTACGTTTTAAAGCTTCCCAAACGTATTGAAAACACTGTGGAAGTATTTGCATTTGTCAAAAAGATATCAAAGGGGATCAGCAAGAGCAGCTGGCTCTCCCTGGACCCCTGGCTGAGCTCAGCTTCCAATGGAAAGCTCTGCCCACCCGCTGCATTCCTTGCCTTGGCAGAGAACCGGGGGATTCTAGAGCCTGCCGGGGTTCCAGGCAGACTCACCTTCCCGAGAACATTAAGGGCCAGGCTCTGGGCCACTCGGGTTCTCTCCACCTCCGGGCCTGACCCCGGGCCTCACCCACTTGCCACCAGGAGCTGGCCTTCCACCCCGAGCTACGAATATTCTCCCCCCGTCATTGGCATTCTGGCTTCCCACCCCCCCTCAAATCAATGGCCATCCTCGCAAATGCTTTCCTGCCGTTCCCTGGGTCCGACGGGCTGGAGCTGCCCCTTTGGTGGGCAGCGGCAGGGGCGTCCCGAGAAGAGGAAGGCCGCTGGGGCACGAGGGAACATAGTGGAGTAGAAAGACACAGCACAAGACTCACATGCAGTTGTCAGCTTAGACCTGTGTTAGTGGACAGAAAGCAGCAGGGATCCAGACCGACCAGTCTGTGGAAAAGCCTAAGGCTAAGCGTTCACGATCTGCAGCTCCCTTCGTCAGATGGATCATGCTGTGGGTGTATACAAGTCTCAATAGTTGTGAACAATCAATAATCACACTGCAATTTGAACTGCATCGCACAGCTGTTTTCCTATCCAACAGCCACCCACAACCCCCCCCCCAGGCACCATGAACCCAGTTCAGAAGCTCTTGTGTTTTCTTCCTCTAGTCTCAATTTGTTCAAGGAACAAAATGTTGCTGTGGTACCGCCGTGACTGAGGCGAGAGTCTGGCTGGGTGGGTGGCACAGCAGAAAACCTCCAAGCCAGCAACTGGGCATGTGGCTGCACGGCAGAGGAGCCGAGTGTCCACTTGGCCCTTTTTGTGCACAAGGAAGCACGGAGCACGGAGGGACGGGGCCCGACGATTCACTGATGAAGAGTAACCCCCGTGGCACACAAGGCCACGCCCCACAGCTGCTCCCAAAGGGATCTTCTCCCACTTCATGGGGTATGGGTAGCCTTTGGCTTGCACCCCTTCGTTTAGTCCCCGTTCAAAGCTACCACGGCACTAAAAAAAGAGATTTATTTATTTATTTTTAACAAAATTTTATTAAATTTGTATAGGTGAGGAAAAATAGGAAGAATACAGGTATGGTAAAGGGAAGGGTAAAAGGAAAGGGGGATGGGAAGGAAATAAGGAATTAGGGTAAAATAAGGATAGGTACAATCACATATTTCAACAAACGAGTAACCGTCCGGTTCGTAATAATGAGTAAATATCATATTGAACCACTTTTAACAAAGCTTAAGCTGTAACATATTAAAAATAATTAGTAAACAAATACGTTGATCTATTAAGTAAACACTACTAATAAAATCACACACACAAAAAAATCCTAACAATTAAAAGTAACAAATTAAAATCAGTAAATCGGGAAAAGTAATCATATCATCAAAATGTTAGTTAGAACTCAATTAAAAATCAGTCATCTATTCTAAAATAGTAAATCCTTCAAGTTCTAACGTGTCTCTAACCATTGATAAAATTTTTCCCAAGTTCTAAAATAAATTGAATCATCTTTTTCTTTCATTTCTAATGTTAGTCTATCCATTTCTGCACACTCTAAAATTTTGGTAATAATAATCCGGTCAGATGGTAGATTCTCATTTTTCCAAAATTGGGCAAATACTATCCTTGCAGCAGTTAAAACATGCCATATCAAGTAGTCATTATCTTTACCATAATTAGGTGTTAATATTCCTAACAAAAACAATTCTGGTTTAAATTGTATTTGTAGTTTCATCATCTTTTCCAACCATCTACGAACCTTAGACCAAGATTTCTTAGCGATAGGGCATGTCCACCAGGCATGGTAATAAGTGCCTGGCTGTTGTTTACATTTCCAGATTTATTTTTCACAAGACTGTTGCAGCATCCTGTGGTCATCTGATCAAAATCTGGCCACTGTCACAATGTCCCGTGGCCACCCGGCCAGCCTCCCCGGAGGCAGAGGGGGGGCCTGGGGGAGACCCCGGGGCAGCCCCACCGGCGAAGAGAGGAATTGCCTTTCGGGGGGGAGGGGGGGAGGGCTTCAACTCCCAGAATTCCCCAGCCAGCAGAGCCCACCCCTCTTAAAAGGGCCAGAATAACGGTGCAGGGAGGGACCTTGGGAGGCTATCTAGCCCAACCCCCTGCACAGGTGGGAAAACATTCCAGACAAATGGTTTTGCCAGCCTCTTCTGGGCCCAAAGGTCGAGAAGCCCAGCCCTTGAGCCACCTTTGAGTGACTCTGCGCTTCGGAGAGGCTGTCCAGGGAAAGGCTGCCGCTCCTAGGTCGGGGCCAGGGGACGGAGTTCTAATTCTGAATGGACCAGAAGCTGGCTGGGCCAGGCCCCGTCTGGGCCTCAGGGCTGCTGTTGTTGAGGCGGGGGGGGGGAATAGAGGAGGGAATACAATAGGAATAGAAATTAGAATAGAATAGCTGGAAGGGACCTTGGAGGTCATCTAGTCCAGCCCCCCCCCCCATTCAAGCGGGAGACCCTACACCATTTCAGGGAGGGTTAGGCATCTTCTGGATTATTTATAAAGGTGGGATTTTTTTAAAAAAAGATCTAGAATCAAGATCACGTGAAGTATTAATACCACTCTTCAATGCCTTGGTAAGGCCACACTTGGAATACTGCATCCAGTGTTGGTCACCACGATGTCAAAAAGATGTTGAGACTCTAGAAAGAGTACAGAGAAGAGCAACAAAGATGATTAGGGGACTGGAGGCTAAAACATATAAGGAACGGTTGCTGGAATTGGGTATGTCTAGTTTAACGAGGAGAAGGACAAGGGGGGACATGATAGCAGTATTCCAATATCTCAGGGGCTGCCATAAAGAAGAGGGAATTAAGCTATTTCCAAAGCACCTGAAGGCAGGACAAGAAGCAACGGGTGGAAACTAATCAAGGAGAGAAGCAACCTAGAACTAAGGAGAAACTTCCTGACAGTGAGAACAATTAAACAGTGGAACAGCTTGCCTCCAGAAGCAGTAAATGCTCCAACACTGGAAGTTTTTAAGAAGAGACTGGACAGCCATTTGTCCGAAATAGCGTAGGGTTTCCTGCCCGAGCAGGGGGTTGGACTAGATGACCTCCAAGGTCCCTTCCAACTTTACTACTATTTTTAAAAAGTCTGGAACCGCCAACGTTTCCCCTCGGGCTGCCCCCCCTCTCCGCACAGGACGAGTCATTGGCCAGCCTGCGGAGGGCTACAGCCGATTATTCATCCGGCCGAGGCGCTCTGCGTACGCCCCGAGGACCCCAATGTCCGCCCCAATTTCTCTCCATTTCCCGACTCCGGGCCTTTCCACAGGCTTGGGCCCGCCTCTCAAGAGGCGCCTTTTGTTCTGATTGGTCGTCAAGCTTCCCTGCCCGTGCACTAAGAGGCGCGTGAGGCCGATGATTGGCTGCCGTGGCTGCCATTCTCCCCTATCGCAGCTGATCACGCCCTCCTCGGCCGCTCGCCCGGCTTTCAACCGCTAGCCGCCAGGAGCCGAGCGACTCCTGATTGGCAGGCTCAGACGTCCGTCAGAAGGAGGCCTGCCTTCGCTCGCTTCTGCGCGCCGTGATACGCCCCTTCTCGGCTCGCCGGCTGAGCCAATCGCTTCCCTCCCTGCCTCCTTGAATTTGATAGGGCGACGGAGGCACGTGCGCAGCAGTTTCACGTGTCAGTCAGGCCAGTTGGATCCGGGGGAATCTGCTTCCCTCGTACGCGATTGGTTGGACCGAGACGCTTTCGCAGACGTCCCAGCTGCCTTCCATCACGGGCGCCCGATTGGAGCAAAAGGAGGAAGAGTCAGGCAGCTCTTTTAAAGGGGATTGGCTTTTGGGCGTGGAACGGCTCGGCAAGGGCCCTTCTAATTGGCCGCTTCCCGCATGTCCGGCCTCTCATAGGCGAACGCGATCCTTCCAGCACCGCCCCCTTTGGCTGGGGTCTCGCCGTCTCTACCTCCCTGTTCTCATTCGGCGCCCGACGGCCGCAGCGGGAACAGCGGAGCCTACGGGATGGCGGCGGGCGAGGGCGGGGCCGATTCGCTGCCCCCGCCCTCACCCTCCTTGCCCGGGCCCCTCCCGGGTCCCGAGCGCGCCTTGGAAGAAGCGGTCGCCTCGGGCAGCCTGAGCCTGGCGGGACGGCGGCTGAGGCACTTCCCCGGAGGAGCGGCTCGGCGCTGGGACCTCAGCGACACCACGCAAGCGGGTGAGATGCTCGGCCACGCCCCCTCCCAGCCACGCGCCGCCGCTCCGCCTCCTCCGAAGCCCCCCACCCCCTACTTCTCCGGCCACGCCCCCAGCGGGTCTTTTCTGCCTGCAGGCCCCGCCCTCTCCGTTAGGCTGTGCGCTTCGGACACGCCCCCTACTTTGCCCCGCCCCCTACTGTGTCCCGCCCCCTCGAAGAAGCGGCTGGGACTTTTCTCCGGCTGCCGGCCACTTCCCCGCCCCCCCCGAGAGAGGGGCTGCAGTACAGTGCCCATCATCCGCGCCTCCCGGGACGATGGGAGTTGTAGCTTAGCTACCGGGGGTCCCGGGGAGGAGGCCGCCCCGCTCTCTCCGCCCCTCGGGTTGAAGCCGGCTGCGCCCGCCTTGCGGAAGCGCTTCTCCCGGCACCGACGGGCGAGCGGAGGCCTGCGGATCTGGGAACCGGCGGGGCGGCTCCGGGCTTGGACCGCCTGGCCCGCACGAAAAGGAGAGGCGGCTGGAGACCGGGCAGCCCTTCTCCGCCCGGCGGGCCCGGCGCTGTCCACCGAGGCCCCCTCCTGCCCCTCGGGCCACCCCCGGCCCCCAGTGGGAGGGAGCTGCTCCCGGGCCGGGCTGGTGGCGAGGGGGGAGAGAAAGCGGGGGAGGGGAGCTGCCCCCCCCCCCTTGTTCCCTTTTGCGCTGCCTCCTCCTGATTTGCTGGCATCTGCAGGGAGGGTGGTTCTGCCCTCCTTGGGCCCTCTGGGGGAGCCGCAGCAGGGCCTTTTCGGTTGTGGCTCCTGCCTCCCTTGTGCCAGGGTCACCGAAGGGTCTCGTGTGCCAGTAATGTTCCCAGGGCTGCTTTGCGTGTGTTCCCTGCTGCAGACGGGCATAACTTTCTCAACCGGGGTCCTGCTGTGGCTGGCCGACCCCGCCCCCCTTGGGGTGCCTGTGCAGGTTGCTTCCCTAGAGAAGCCGAGGTGGAGGGGCAAGCAGGAACCGGATTCTTACTGGGCAGAAGTGACTCACCCGAGGCAGGCAGGGGAGCAGCTTCTTCCTGCAACCGTTGGGCCTGCTGGCTCCCGGAATGTCTGCCCTGGGGCACGCTTGGCTGGGCTAGCGCTCCCGTGCCAAGAGAGAGCGGAAGGTTGCTGTCAGGTCTCCCCAGCACAAGGCCCGGGGCATCCCCATTGCCCCAGCAGTCAGTGGGAGACTCCCAGCCGGTCAGGACGCTTGGTGCCCCCCCCCGCCACCCCTCCCACAGCATCTGGGTCGACCTTTGAACCCGACCCCTTTGCAAGCCAGGAATTGCCGTGGTCACATGTGGTGGTCAAGGAGGCAGGTGCCACAAAGGCAGCCTGGATGGGTGCCAGAGATGACCAGCGGGAGCGCTTGGGGCCTAGGCCTGGGGGGGGAGTGGGGTGCTTGTGGCTGCCCTGCCCTCCCGCCACCGGGCAGCCTCACCCCTCCCTGAGTGGCTGGATTGCAGTGGGGGCTAATCATAAGTGCTTCCCCAGTGCGGTGGTCGCCTTTGGCCCTTGACCGTCCCCTGGGTAGCCTGACCCGTGCAGTTGTCCCACAGCATTGAGGGCCCGATGCAGTCTCTTTTTGTCCGTGACCCAAAGGCGGTGGGGGTCCCTTCGGTCCTTCCATGCCATTAGATCTGCCTTACGCTGAGGGATCTCCCCTTGTTGCCTTTGGGCTTCTGGTGCTCCCTCCCTCCCCCATGCAGGATCTGTTAGATCACCCGGGGGGCCGATAGGTTCTTTTAAACCCGAACACAGGGCTGAGATGGCGTCAGTCCCATGGTTGGGTGATCTACGGCAGTGCTGGGGGGGTCACTCTCCCGCCCCTGCTTGACCCCTCAGAGGTTTCCCCTTCTGTTGTTCCTAATCCCGAGTCCGTGGGGGTGGGGGGAGCAGATGCCACTGTGGCTTTCCTTCTTTTTCTGCACCTGGTCGTTGGGAGGAGGGGTCCAGTGCAAAGCCCCTGATTTGTGGGGTGCCGCCGGTTGATGCTCTCATTTGGCAGCTACAGGAGGTCCCTGGGCGGGGTGGGGGTCACTGTGGGGTCTGGGGTCATCTGTGCAGTAGGCAGATGAAGCCCCTCAGGCGTAGTACGCACTTCTGCTTCGGGGTCTGTTGCCTCTGAATGGGACCTGAGCAAGCTGGGCGCTCCCGGGTTTTGGGGCACTCCTGACAGCCCCCCCAGTGCCTGCCACCCTGTGCCACGGGATGGAGCCAGCTTCCTTTGGATCCATGTCGTCTGTGGCTGGGGAGGGCAGTCTCTGTCACAGCACCTGCTGTCTGGCCAAGCATCCCCCCGCCCCACCCGAGGATGTTAAGCCCCCTGCCCTCCTGCGGGCCCCCAAACTCCTTGCTTCGGCCAGGGGTTCCCTGGGCCTTTGAGCTGTGCTGAAAGGGGAGAGGGGTTCCCCACCTGCTTCCTCGGCACCTTTGCTCTGCTCTCATGTAAGGTGGGTCTTCTTCTTTCAGACGGGGGGGGGGAGTGGCCCAGAGCTGAGAAATAAGCAGCAGTTAGGAGCACTTCCTGGTGTCCGGGAGAACCGCAGACCATCGGCCGGGGGTTCCGTGGGCCTCGGACGTTTCCTCCTTTGGCGTCCTCCCTCCAGAAATGGAGTGTGGCCTGGCCCCAGATCCACGAGGCCCCCAGGCCTGGGTTGAGTTTGCCCCGCTCTGTCCTCAGGCAAGAGAGCACCCCGGGGGTGGAGGCTCGGGCCTTGCCCATCACGCCAGGCCAATCACGCCAGGTCACGGCCAGCACAAATCGCGGTTTGTAGGTCCACGGATTCTCGCTAAGCAGACCGTAAGCCCTGCGTTGTCTCCTCTGGCATCTGGTTCACCTTCCGATGTCCCACCGAAGGTCCAGTGAATTTGTTTCTGTCCGGAAGGAGCCGTGCATGAGGGGCTCCCTCCAGCTCCCCCCTTCATGACACAATCAGTGGTCATTTTGAGAGGCTCGTTAGGTTCCCCTCGGGGCTCTAGTTAGGGAGGTAGAATTAAGGGAAGCCGCCAGGAAAGGTCTCGGAAAAAAAATAAGAGGAGAGCACGAGCAACAATTGTGGTCTGAGGTGGCGTTTGAATTAGGCATTGTGTGAAACCTGGATTGGCTGAGGTCATCCAACACAAACCCACATTGTGATTTCTCGGCCGAATTAGAGGGGTTCCTGCATTAATTCAGCTCATTCTAGTTTATTCCACAAGCCATGATTGGAGGCCAAGGCAGGACATCCTTGTGAAGTCGCTGAACGGGGTGTTTCCCACAGAGAAGTTGGGCTGGCAACATTTGACCACAGGGCGGGAGGGAGAACCGGGCGGCTCAGAGCAGGCGCCCCGCACAGGCCCCTTTGCTCCAGCTGCCCCACTTCCAGAGGTGTGGACGTCCCGGCTGGCTGAGGAATTCTGGGAGTTGAAGTCCAAGCCTCTTAAAAGTTGACAAAGTTAATTACTGGCGTGAATTAATGGGGGGGGGGGAAGGTGAGACTTTCTCCTGCTCTCTCCGGGTTGTTTTCCCCTCCTGGATGAAAAGCGAGACGGGAATCCAGAGCTGTAATATCAAAAGGTGGGAGGATCTTATCCGCCAGGGACCGGGGAGATCATGTGGGGTTAACAGACCGAGGAGCTGCCAGGGGAGCAGGAATGCTCCATTTTAGGCTGTGAGCGGAGTTTTTCCTCGCTGACCGAGTCCAGCTGGCTCCCACCGGCAGATCTTGCTGGAGGGCCGTGGAAATACTGATGGGGGGGGGGAGCTGCAGAGTGAGAGAGGCCAGCCCTCCTTTGGGGCAGCGAGTTCAGCTGCAGAGTAACTCCGGGGGAGGCATTCCTCCTGCTGCTGCTGGGGCTGATGGGACCTCTGGAAAGTAAACCGGTTTGGCATATCTGGGGAGGGGGCGAGAGGCTCAGGGCGGGCCTTCTTTGCCGGGGCTCAGCTGCAGCTGGGGAGGAGAAGAGCCTGCCCCCCTTCTGCCGGGCTCTGCCTCGTCCAGCTGCACTGGGCCCCTGCGCTTGAAGGGCCCAGGAGATGCAGGCCTGGACCAGCAGTGGGTGGCCTTCTTTGGCCCCCCCAAGCTGCTTCGCCCCCCCCCCCCCCCCCGGTCAGGCCTCTCCTCCTCCCTGGCTCTTCTCTTCAGGGAAGCCCACCACCCAGTGGAGGTGTGGAGTGAGCTGGTGGGTGTCCGGGAATCCCGCTCTCTGGACTGACCCTTGGCCTGCCCGGACCTTGACATCCTTTGTTTGGCTTTAAGAGGAGCAGATTGTGTTGATAGGTGACACATCTTCCCTGCCAGGATGCCAGAGGAGCCCTGGGGGGGGGCTCATGGGGGGGGGGCTTATCGTGCTCACCAGAGTCTGGTGAGGTTGGTCCCTCTTGGTGGAGAACGGGACCTTCACCCGAGATGGTGGCCGGCTTTGGGACAGCAAGTCCGCCCTTGTTGTCATGTGGCCTCTGGATGTCTGAACGTAGCAGGCCTGGTGCTGGGCAGAGGGACCCTGGCGGCACAGCTGGTGGGGCTGGCATCATCTCCCAAGGAGACACACCTCGCCTGGCTAGTGGTGCCAGGGAGGCACCCCCCCTGATGTGCGGAAGGGTGATTCTGATATTCGGAACGGCTCAGATGGAAAATGCACGCCAGGCACGTCTGTGTGTAAAAGTTGGGACGGGCCTCTGGGTGGGGGTGGGGTCCCCATCCACCTCCAGCAAAAGCGGGGTACTGGGCCAGCCCTGAGCTCTGGGAGTCGGGCAAGAGCCTCTTGTGCGCCAGGAAGTGGCCTCTTCCTCTTTGCAGCCCCACAGAGAGTCCCGGGCGTGGCAAGGACGACGAGGAAGTCCCTGGTGGCCTGCGACATGGGGGGGAGGCGGGCGAGCCGAGACGGGTGATCGGTTCCTGCTGAGGAATCTGCCGAAGGTCTTGTGGACAAAGTCCCTGGGGCGGGATCTCAGCCCTGCTCACCCTTTGGGCGTTGTTTCCCCCCCCCCCCCCGGCAGCCGCGCAGGAGTTGCCCGGGA